TAAAGGCGCTTACTACTTTCATGTTCTTTGACACATATCATCATACAGTCTTCTGTAGTTTCCAGGTATCTTTGGAGACCAATTGTTGTAGTTTTGTAAGACATTTCTAGTTGAACTAATCCTCTGCCTCTTTTGTATCTCGGCACATACAGACGATCAACATCAACTTTGAGATGATGCAGGTGGTAGTAAGTGAGAAATCTATACCTATGTCGTCACTGAAACATTTTGGAGGCCCTTCAACTCATTGTCGTCTTTGGCAAAGAGTTTGAGATCATCCATGTAGAGTAGGGTATTGAATATTTTCTTGTTTAGTTTGTAACCATAGCTATTATTGTTTAGTTCATGCGTATGGGGGATTAAGGACAGACCAAATAAAAAAGGGTGACAGGAAGATTCCTTGAAAGATTCCACGTCGGATATTCAGGCGGTTGGAGATGGCAGTAACTCTGCTGAGATTTGTGTATAGTGTAGTTTTCTACATTCCCATGCTGTGCTTAAAGAAATTTACTACCACGGGGGAAACTTTGTATATTTTTAAAGTCTCGGGGATCCCAGAGTGTGGCACGCTATCAAAAGCTTCACGATAATCAATCCACGCTGCGCTAAGATTTCTACATCGTCTCCAGCAATTTTACAGGATTATTTTGTTCATCAGTATTCGATCTTTGTAACCATATGAACCTCTCCTGCATCCCTTCGGTCCTAGTGGAAGAATGTTATTTGCTTCGATGATTATTATTATACAAACTTCCCAAAAGATTTGAACTCGGATTCCATATGCATATGAGTCTGTAACAATGAATGAACCAATTTAAAGCATGGCTTCGAAAAAAATCGGATCTCTACCGGCAAAAACGGCACCTACTGACTTAAAACGAATTCGTTTTAACTTGCCCGTGAAGTGAATAGATGTCAGTTCTTTTAAAAAACATGGTCATATTGCAAGCATGATTGTCAAAATTACTTTTATTTTAAGCATTACCAAATTCATTTTATATTCAAATTACCCAATACCAACTAAACATGGAAAATGCGCAATATTTATTAACTTTCCCTGCCTCCCACAATGTGCGGTCAAATATATATATATATATATATATATATATATATATATATATATATATATATATATATATATATATATATAAAGAGAGAGAAACAAAACACAACACATGTACTTGCAAATGCAAATCTGTCTTATAAGTCGGGGCTAGAGGTTCCCTAACAAAAGGAATCATCAAATAGAAAGCCAAAAAAAATTAACCTACTTCCAAACCAATTAAAACCAAAACAGAATTTTTTTAATGACTAATTTCGGCAAATGGACAGATATGTAGTAAACTCAACTCCACCAACCCAAACCCAACCTAATAGACGCACTTTAGTAGATAGATAGATAGATAGATAGATAGATAGATAGATATGAACAGAATGGAATAAATAGAGAGATAGATAGAAGTGAGAGATATATGAACAGAATGAAAGAGAAAGACCCAAAATGATACATTTCTAGAAGATATGACAAATAATGTTTTATTTTTTCTTTCGTCGTCAAATTTATTACAAATATTTGTCTGCCATTGTAACTTGTAACTAATATTTGACTGTCAGTGTAACTTGTAATCATTTACTCTGACTACAAGTGCCTTCCGTAAATACTCGTGTATAGTACGAGTTGTGATGACCAGATCTTACACAAAAAATAGGGAAGTCGCATTATACAAAGGTAATTTTTTTTTTTTTTTTGAAGAGCTTAAAAATCGTGCATTTGAGTGTAAAGGATCTCTATCCTAGTCAGGCATGAACGAAAACAAAATTACGCTATCTAACAATTCCTGCCAGTAAGTAGTTTTTCTCATATTTTCGGATAGCTTTATACAAAAAAGAATGAAGACCATTTATTTGCTATAAAATATTTCCAGGATGATGACCAGTACTGCAATATTTGACTATGGTAGACCTACCAGTATTTAAATGGAGCCGGGTGCGTATTATACATGAGCTATATGAAATCATCAGGTTTCTCGCAAAAATATTCAGGGATCGTACTCTACATAAAGTAGCCTTATACACGAGTATGTACGGTATCAGTATCATTTTAACTTGTAATCACGTACAAACGATTTTTCACCTAATTTTCAAATCAGAACATACAGTTTTAATGCCGAAAACGATTTAAAATAATTTTGAGTCTTGGTAACTTTATCGCCTTGCTTGTGGTGAAATGATTAAAAAAAATAACTTTAAAATATTTTTCATAACTTCCAGAAATGTTTAGTTTCTTAGTGCAAGAAGTGTAAGTATGTAGGAATCGTCGGAGTGGCGGCAAAGCCAGTGGGCAGTAACAAAAAAAAAATCATAAAACTTTATGTAATAAGTACAAATGCTGTCCGAGTTTAAATCCAATTATAAATATTGTTTTATTTATTCCCCAGAAATATATAAGACTAAAGAATGAAGAATAAAATATATAGACTAAAATAAATCCACATTCTAACCAAAAACGTTTGCGGTTTATTTTTTTTTAAATATACATTTTTCTCTCATTGGAACAACTATAACCTTTTCCTTATAGATAGATAGAGAGAGAGAGAGAGAGAGATAATATACAGAGTTATATTAACAAATGATGAACAAATAAATAAACATAGATAGATAGATAGATAGATAGATAGATAGAAGGAAAGAAAGAAAGTTTGGTTACAAGTCATTTTGTTTATTATTTCTATACCCTAACCATTTTAGTTCAAAATATAAATTATCCAATGTCTGAATATTTTCGGCTTTCATACGCTATTATCAAAGAGTATTTGTTTTTTGTTGTTTTGTTTTTGTGTGTGTGCACCACGTCGGTTTCATCGTTTTTTAAATATGGCGTCTTAACGCATCGTGTCTTTTTTTAATTCACCTTTTCGCATGTCATTTTCAGTTGCCATGTCGTATCTATAAATACAGAATTATATAGAGAGAAAAATTTATTCTTAACGAAGAACTTCCGTTGGCCTTTAACCAAACTTGTATAAATGAAGAATTGCCACCCAAATAAATCTTCGATGAAAATCAGGTGGAATGTTAAATAGATAAGACAATTTTGAAAATATTTTTATTTTTACATGTTTCGTTGATCAGTCGGTGCCATCAGAAAAATGGATTTTATTTTTAAAAAAAAGATGTACTTTAATGAATAAATACAAAACTGAACTGAAAACGATACATATAAAGTATGCAGTTAAAGAAAGAAATCAAGTGTTCATATGATTGACGTAAATCACGCTTTGCCTCACTTCAACTTATTTGGTTGAAATGAAATCCATTTTTCTAATGTCGCCATTTGATCGGCGAAACATGTCTATTTTAGAATGTGTTTTTATGAATTTGGCTATATATAAAAAAAAATCTAAAATCCCCAACACCCCCTTCTGCCGTGCGCACGTGTAATCGTACAATATAACAACATTTAATCCGATGAAGTCCTATAGGACGAATCGCGTCACAAGTCAACTTTTCCACTTTGTCATACATTTTCCCAAATATTGTTCTTGATATATATATATATATATATATATATATATATATACCTATTTTGTCATGATTCGACCATCAATTTTATTTCAAGCATTTTATATATTAAAACACATATGTGTGTGTGTGTGTGTGTGTGTGTGTGTGTGTGTGTGTGTGTGTGTGTGTGTGTGTGTGTGTGTGTGAATATAAATAAAATATACCGGTAAAAAGACAATAGACATATAGACAAAAGGAAAACTTTTCTTTACCAACGCGTTTCGTCCTCGAGTGAATTTTATCAAGGCAAATGTAAGTAGTTTATTTTGCAGCATGCATTTATAAACAGAAATAAAAATATTGTTAAGTTTTTCAAAATTTTTAAAGAACGCACAAAATTCTAAAAATTTATAAATTTATGAAAGCTTGAGGGTTCTTAAATTTCAAAATTTTGAAAACTAACTGTATTTTTTACTTGTGTTTATAAATACATATTACAAAATAAAATCCTTGCATTTGCCTTGATGACGAAACGCGTTGGTAAAGAATATTTTTCTTTTTTAGTCTTTATTCTTTATATATATATATATATATATATACACATATATATATATATATATATATATATATATATATATATATATATATATATATATATATATATATATATATATATATGGCCTATAACGTCTGACGATACTGAAATATTGAAACCAAGGTAGCGTGATTGGTTGATCTATATATATATATATATATATATATATATTCGAAATTTATATGTCTTCATAATTCGATAGATACTTATTCTGTGTCCCTCTGTAGGTAATGAGTTATGGTTTCCTTAAGATATCCTGCCTGGGATATCATAGGTCATATAAACAATGTCAAATAATAGACTAAGAACACGATTTCACAAAGTGTTAAAAATTTTCTCCAAATCCACAACACTATCCTACTCTCTCCCCCTCTCTCCCCTCTCTCTCTCTCTTTCTCTCTCTCTCTCTCTCTCTCTCTCTCTTTCTTTCTTTCTTTCTCTCCCTCAATCTCACTCACTCTCAATATGGTACTAATTAAATAGTAACCAAAAAGAAAGCAAGGAATTTCAAATGTTTGTTTGTTTTACCTTGCAGTGAGGCGCAAAAAGGCGAGCTGTATTTTTCTGCAGCACGTCGCTGTCACCAGTGCAGGCCGTGAGTGTGGATGGTTAGACAAATGGTAGGTTGGCCAAGAAGCGAAAGGCTGGCGTCCCGAACGGCCCTGGTAAATCCGATAAGACGAAGAAAGAATCTAGCAGCAAGAAAAACTTTCAACAAGTACAAACCAGACGTTCGGACGACGCTACCCACACCGGCTCGACGACAACCATGGTAACACGCACACACACGATGTACGGACACATGCAAGGACACACGTACACACACACTCAAACACACAGACACACGGTTGTTCACATGAGACACGATGCGTACACAGAAGTTGTATGCCGCTAAACACAGTCATGTTGGTAAGAAAAATGATATATTGATAGATGCATATGAACAAACTGAGATAGATAGATAGATATGTACAGACTGTATTAGATAGATAGATCGATAGACAGATACATAGATATAAACAGACTGAGATAGATATGTACAGAGCGTGTTAGATAGATAGATAGATAGATAGATAGATAGATAGATAGAAGGAAGAAAGTCAACATTCATATATATCTGTAGGTAAGTATGTATATATGAATATATATAATTATATCAGTTAGCTCTATCTCTGATATTGAGCGCTTTCTAATAAGTACCGCGCATATGATATATAAATAATTATATATATATATATATATATATATATATATATATATATTTATATATATTTATACACACACTTTTCACATATATATATATATTACTTTTAAACGCTATTTTAATGGGTAACCACATCTGAGTTATTTAACATATTTTAAAGAGTATTTTATTTCGTCTACTGACCTAAATATTCGAGAAAAGGGTGCACTTTTCTTCAATAAGATTTCACAAATGTTCAGTCAGTAGATTAAGTAAAATCCTATTTAAAATAAACGGAACCTTTTCCTCACGTCTTACATATCTATAAGTCAACCATTCGTCTCGGCTTAGAATATTGCTAAAATCTACAGAAGAATCAGCAATATTATTGGTTCTGATCTGGCTTCTCGGCTTCAGTCACTTTCCCACTGATGTAAAGTTGCCTCTCTGTGTCTTTTCTATAAATGGTAATGTTTTGGATGACCTCTTCGCCATGGTACCTAGATTTTTTTTATTTAAGTGCAGTACTAGATTGGCGGCAAGGTCTCATCATTTTACAGTTGAAATGACTAGATGTAACCTTCTATGCTAACAGTTTCTTCACTCGCACTTTTCACATGTGGAACTCTCTTCTGGCTTTGATCTTCGAATTTTTGAATGCAATGTCAATCGTTATCTTCTTTTATTGTAAGCTCTCTATTTTTTCTCCTTTTCTCTAATACTCAGTAACCCCTTTGGATCCTAGTGGCTTTATTGCCTTGCTTGAGGTGAAATTATTAAATATACATGCATTCATATATATATATATATATATATATATATATATATATATATATATGCGTGTGTGTGTGTGCTTGCGTGTGTGTGCTTGCGTGTGTGTATGTGTGTGTGTGTGTGTGTGTGTGTATGTGTGTGTGTGTGCAATTTAAAAATAATTGGAAGCCTTCATTAATTAACTATTTGCAGAGGTTTATGTTTTCAATTGTAATGTTTTACGAGACATGAATCACGGCAGATGTGTCGACAATTGGATCGGTTATCGTTGTATTAGGTGCAATCTACTAACAAAACTCAAAGAGAAAAATCGATATTGCATAACATCCAGACTCTCTCTATTAGTGTTTAATTATATAAGAAGAGGAACTCAAAATTGATCGCTGCATTTAAGTATTGTGTTAATATTTAAGCTTACCTTCAACGATAATTCTGCAGTCACTTAATTTAAAGACAATGAATTTGATGTACGTACGTCCTTACTTTTCCTACAAACAATTATTTTTATATCATGGATGACTTTCGCTGGATTTCGCAATTAATTTCGATTATTCCCAAATTTATTTCCAAGTTATAAAAGTTGATATATCAAAAAAAAATTCATCGCAAAATCTCACGAAAAAAAAAACGCCGAAAACAATCGCAGTAATTAAGACATGGGAATCCAAAATTTCAGGAATGCGGGTCTAAATCCGAGTTGGCTCGATTCGAAAATGGTATGATATGTTGGGCTCCGGCCTTTAGGAGTAAAGTTGAAAAAGGGTGACACACTGACACATTGACAATCGCATTTATTAGATAGATAGATAGATAGATAGATAGATAGATAGATAGATAGATAGATAGATAGATAATGAACAAATAGCAAACGATTATAAATGTTTCGCTTTGTAAAATGTTTCCTATTTTTTCTCCATCCTATCATTCTGTCGGATTCTGATCCATATTTGATCCTAATTTACATATGTCTATGTCAAAATTCGGATGTAAATAAAAAAATATCTGCAAAATAAAAGGTAATATGAATAAAGTTTTTCTATGTCTTTATTCAGATATAAATTGCCTCCATGTGTCTTTTCTATAAATACTTTCATCGTAATTGTTTGAATGAACTGTTCGCCATGGTGTCTAGATTTTTTGAATTTAAGAACAATACTGGACTAGCGTCGAGATCTCATCAATTTAATGTTAAGCTGGCTAGATGTAGCCATAAATTCTATGCTAGCAGTTTCTTTTCTCGCACTTCTCGCTTGTGGAACTCCCTTTCGGCTCTTTGCTTTCCAGCCAACTTTAATCTGCAAACATTTAAATGCAATGTCAATCGTTATCTACTCTCTACCTGATCACTCTTTCCTCTTTCTGCTCATTAATATTTTTGTTCCTAATTCTTCCACACTTTGTAATGTCTTCTGTTGCATGGGGTGATAGCAATTAAAAAATATTA